AATATTCAAAGTTTGGAAATATTAAATTTCAAAACATTCTCTCATAAATTTTCTCGGTATGGTAAAAAAGTTTAATACTATATCAATAGATATTGTGTATAGTAAAAAAAAGTTGTCAATGGGCCATGAATACAAATTATCACTGGATGGATGAATACAAACTGTCGTTGAATGCATGAATACAAATTATAAAGGGTAATTTTTTAAAATGACCTTTTAAAAGTTTATCATGATTTTCATTCAAAAGATTATTTATCAAAAACCAGTACGTTATTACACATAAATTAACATTACTATATTTGGTGTCATTTAAATTCTTTTTTATTCAATGTAAAACCCACTAACTCACTACCATTTTTCTCTAAATCATGGTTATCTAGCCATGGTTACTTTACACCATGTAATTTAACCATGATTAAGTTTAAATCTATGTTTTTTTTTTTTTCGAAAATTAGTTTAAATCTAAATTGCCAATTCTAGGTGGTTAAACATGAATTATGTATATTCGTCTATAACTTATAGTTATATATCCTCAAACTTAAAATTCGAATAATGATATAATGAATACTTTGATATAATTGCCCATGTTTATTCAGATGTCCATTTCTATAATTGGGAATTATATATACATTTGCAGTTTATTCATCAACTACAAAGACTTGTTAGATAGTTTTTCTTTTAATCAAAGTTGTTAGATTTTTTTTAAAAATCTTTCAGGGACTATTAAAATAAAATATTCAGATTCTAAACATATTTAGAACATAAAAAAACTTCTAAAAAATTAGTAAATTAAAAATGATAGAATGTATGAAATGGTTGAAAATATAATTTATAATGGTCGAATGATTGATGGTTTTTGAAATGACTGTAATGATAAATGTTCGAGAATTATGATTTATAAGATTTGTAGTTAATTGGTATATACTAGTGATGTTATTGTATCATCATCCGATTTTAAATTTGAAAATATATATGAATAAACCGTAGACGAAAAGATAATCACCTAAATTTTTGCAGTCTAAGTTAAAATTTAATTACGATTAAACAACTATTGTTTAAAGTAACCATGGTTACTTAACCATGGTTATGATAGTGAGTTAGATTTTACTTTGAATAAAAAATGAATTAAAATAAATTTTAGACCCATACAATTTTTTCCATAAAAAATTTCCTTCAATAATATATATATTTGAGGTGTTCTTAAGGG